TACCCCTACATTTCTCTTTCCATCCACATCATGGTAGAAGAGTTTGAATCCTCCTCCGATGCTCCTGACCTTACTCCCCTTCCACTTGGTCTCTTGCACACACAGTATGTCTACTTTTCTCTGTTCCATCATGTCAGCCAGCTCTCTCCCTTTACCAGTCATAGTGCCAACATTCAACATTCCGACTCTCACATTTACTCTCTTAGCTTTCCTCTTTTCTCGTTGTCTCTGGAAACGCCTTCCCCCTCTCCTTCTCCTTTTTCCCCAACAGTAGCATAGTTTCCACTGGTACCCTGCTGGCCAGCAGTACTAGTGGCGGTCGTTGTTAACCCGGGCCTCGACCGATCCGTTATGGAAATCTGGTTTATGATCCGCATGTTTAATTTGGCACAGGTCTTAAGCCAGATGCCCTTCCTGATGCAACCCTCCCCATTTGTCCAGGCTTGGGACGGGCACTGAGAGTGCACTGGCTTTTGCAACTCCAGTGGCTGGGTTGAACAATTATAAATAACATCATTTATTTTACTGTATTTTTAATATATTTGAATAATTCCACCAGTTTTCAGTGTATCGTTTACAGTAATTACCATGTTTACCCTATTTTTATTGGCCATGTTAAGTAAAAATATATGTATAAAAATAAATAAATATAACAAATACAAAATGTAATATAAATATATCAAAAATATATACAGTAAAATAGTCAAATATATTTTGTTGTAAAACGTTACTGTATTTTTGTTGTTGTTGCTGTTGTCATTGTTGTTGTTCAAATTATTTAAAAAAAAATTTATTTTTTATTTTTACTTTTTTTTACAGTGTAGCTTCCCCAGGAATCTCTTTACCACTAAAAAAAAAAACTTTGTTTAGCTCACTCAAAGTGTGAGTCATCTATTTCTTACTGTATATTTTTATTTAATATTTTCTACTATAATATGATTTTTTTTCCTCCATGAAAAGTATTTCATTTTGGCAAAGGTACAGCAATGCATTTTCTGCTCAACCTAATATGTTATTGGTATTCAATCCTATCAAAACATGGTCATTTTGTATTATGAGCTTTTGCTCTGCCTCTTCCACGCAAACTGTAAATACACCCGGATGGCTTCCTTGTTCAAATCCCTCACCTTCCAATTCATTTAAACACAAGATTAGCACCTATGTGCCCTTACACACAAAAAAACATGCCCCATAATTGATTTGAAGTGAATTAAACCTTTCTGAAGTGAGTTAAACCTTTTATCACCTAAGTCATGTAAACTGACACGTATGCCCTTAAACATAATGAGAAAGACCATCATGATTTGATAAGCCAGACACCTGAGTGAAGATCTCATCCTAATCTCACACTCATTCACAACTGACTTTTCACTGTTGACTGACAGTCTTTGATGCATTACTCATCCGTACCATAGATGATGCGGCGGGTTTCCTACCTGCACCACCCATTAAAAGTGACAGAGTTTGGTGACCTTGAGGAACTGACACACAGGTAGCTTATAAAAGAAGACTAGATGAGGGTTTCAGACATCAGAGACAAGCAAACGCACACATAACCAGACAGATCAGAGATCCTCAGAGAGAAGAACCTTGGCAGGCTGACTTCTTTCTGCACAACAGGTGGGTAAGAAATTCATCCAGTGAGGTTCAGCTTTACATTTTTTTTTGCAATGTCTAATAATTAATGTATTCATGTTTATTTTATTAATTTAAAGTGTTATTTCACAAATATGCATTCCATTTGCAATATTTTCTTTGTTCTTATAATTCTGGCATGCAATGAAATAATGCTTTGCATAACTATGCATGCATTAAATGTGATTGAGTGTGCATAAATGGGAATATTGCTATGTTATTAATATTTACATGAATCATTGTGTTCTGTCAGAAATGGTGAGGATGTTGTGTCCTTCTTGGCTCTTGGCTCTGGCTGTTCTATGTGCGGGTGGGTCTGAAGTCAGAGCTCAGTGTTGGGAGAACACCCGCTGCAGAGACCTCACCACTGACGAGAACATCTTGGTGAGTTACAATATTCCTTGCACAAATGACTGCTTAGCTTCTAATGTTAGAACTTTCAGCTCAATTTGCAAGTTATCTCACAAATTCAAATTCAAATAAGCACGTCTTATTAATTAATAGTGAGGCAAATGTCACTACTATGTTTGCTAATTGTTTAGGATTAGGGATTTGAACCACAACCCAGAATGAGGACTCAATTCATGTGGCTTGCCGAGAAGAGGTGTGTTTTTACTAAGTGATCAGGTTAATGATTGTAGTCAAACAGAGGATAGAAGAGGGGAGGGCAAAAAAGACTTTACATTAGACATTAGAGAGACTTGTATCTAAAAAGGGGGACATCATAGAATAACACAGAGACTCTTGGTTGGACTTTTTTTTACTTGGGTCAGTATGTAATCACTCAAAAAACTTGAGCAACCATCTAGCAATGTCCCAGCAGCCACTAATGTAACAAAAATGCATCTTGTTTACCTGAAAGATTACTGGTACATCAGCTAGTATGGAGAAAAAATACATTTTAAAAAGTCGGTATTCATTTAACGTTTTGGTTAAGTGACCTTTGTCAATAATTTACAAGCAGAGCACAGTGTGATGTAGCATATGCAACTGTGTCCACGTGTAACATTTTTGTCATAGTTGTAGTAATTTTTCTAATTTTCTGCTGGTTTTTCTTTTCAGTTTGTTTGCATTTTATATGTTCTATGTCTTCATATTGACCATTTTATGAATAATTCCACTATTTTCCAGTTTATTTTTCAGTTATAATGCTTAGCTTGTTTTTTGGCCTTGTCATTACATGCACGTATTTTGCTAATTTACAAGCTCGTAATGCTTTTTGGGGGACTCACATCATTTCAAAACACTTTTTTTCTGATACTGTACATTGTTGCAGCATCTTTTCACCCTCTGCCTCTAAAAAAATAAGTTCATATCTCTTTAAGGCTCAACTTTAAAAAAAAAAAAAAAAAAAAAAAAAACTAGTCTGCTCTGATTGGTCAGCTGCTTAGACCATGTGCCAGAAATGTAATGCTCTAACCATACAGTAATTGAGCTCATTCAGCTGGCAAGGCTTCATGAGGAGCTGTAACAGTATTGTATCCTGTGGCATCTGTATTGGAAGTCCATACAATCTTTTTTTGCCCTCGCAGTGAGAAAAAAAAACAGCATCTCTGTGAAGTAGCGAATTCACTTACCCAGCTTTTCTTTGAAGGCAGACCAAAGCAGCCAGTAGGCAGGCATTATGCAAATGTTTAACATGTTGCGGTAGTCACAGAAATAATGGCAGGGCTACAAACCAAACATTTCGTGTGTTTTCTGTTGGAGAAATTAGCTCCATTTGGTGTGGACTTTGTGTTGTGTAACTTTGCAGATCATTTACAGCTATATTACACACTAAAGAAAAGCTTAAAATAAAAAATACAACATGATAGGTGCCCTTTAAATAGCTTCTCTGATTGGTCTTTTTGTATTTTACTTTTGCCGATGAAGACATGACTGAAAGGTTATAGTAAATAGGCTACAGTTTGGTTTTGAAAAATGGGCACAGCAACACCACAACATTTATCTTTTCTTTATAAAATTTAAAACTCTCTAGTTTCTTCTTTTGCTCTTCCTAAGAACTGCATACAGCTATGCAGGTCTGATCTGATAGATGAAAACCCAGTCTACCCCGGAGAAAGCCATTTGCAGCCTCCCTCTGAACTGGAGCAAACCGAGGTCCTCGCACCCCTGTCCCCTGCTGCCCTCGCTCCTGCTGAGCAAATGGACCCTGAGTCCAGCTCTCAGCACGAGCACAAGCGCTCTTATTCCATGGAGCATTTCCGTTGGGGAAAGCCAGTGGGTCGCAAGCGACGGCCTATCAAGGTGTACACGAACGGCGTGGAGGAGGAATCTGCCGAGACTCTCCCAGTCGAGATGAGGCGCGAGCTGGCCACCAACGAGGTCAACTATCCTCAAGAGGAGAGTGCTTTAAACCAGCAGGAGAAGAAGGATGGCTCCTACAAAATGAACCATTTCCGCTGGAGCGGCCCACCTGCTGGCAAGCGCTACGGAGGCTTCATGAAGTCCTGGGACGAGCGCAGTCAGAAACCCCTTCTCACACTTTTCAAAAATGTCATAAACAAAGAGCATCAGATGAAGGACCAGTGAGAGGTTTTAATGGGATGAGTGGATAGGGGATTGTTTTTAATATACTTTCTTCCCAGCAAACTTATCATGCATAGTCCACAAAAAGAGGGTGGGTGGTGTTGCCAGTAGCACTTAATTCTTGACGCTTAGTTTATTCACATTGTATAACAACAATAAATTCTGAATTCTGTACATAGAAATGCTGTGGTGATTAAATACTGATGTAGAGGCTACAAAAACAGCATTTTTGGATTATTTATTGAAATGTACTATACTGTACATTTTGAAAATGTGATATAAAATGATTGTTTCAAGCAGAAAAGAACAAAATTGTTCCTTTCTGAGAAACAAGCAGACATCAGAATCATTCAGCAGTATGTGCAGTTGCCAATAAAGCTATAAACACAGGTCAGACTTTGAATTCATAAAAGTAGTCTTTAATTGATATTCTTATTATTCACACCACATAATGATTTCATGTAGGCAAACATTCACAGAACACAGTTCTGAAGTCTCATCCTTTTACAGTGACAGTATCTAAACACATAACAGGAATGAAGTTGACTAATTGCGGTCCACAGTGTTGTAATGATCTCACTTAAATGAAAAATTATAAAAGCACAGACAAAACACCCAGTGCATGCAGCAGCTGACAAGGAAAGACTAAACTCTGATATTTCATACATGCAAAAATCACCTCACATGTAAGCAGTCTAGAATATTCAATCAGATGAACATCATAGCCATATTGGCAGAGAAGATAAAACCCACTTGTTTTTTATGCTTGCAAATAAATTCAAGGTATCACCAAAAATATATATAAAATAAAATAAAACATGAAAAATGACAATGAACTAAAAAACAAACAACAAAAAGAAAGACCATGGGCTTTTATGACAGAAAAGTAAACATGTTTTTATGTGGAACTGGAACAATATGACATGACAACAGATATAACACACCATCACATTTTAGACATGAACACATCAAGATGAAATTAACACAACATGAAGTTTTTCAGCATAAACCACATTTACACAGTGAGCTTTAAAGTGCTGCATTTAAACCCAGCATAACAAAATCTTGATGAAAACTTGAAATTATTTACAAATGCAAGTAAAATAAAGGACATGTTACTGTACAAGTGACAAATGAAACAAAAATTATGGCAAAAAAGGTAGATAATCGATCCCTTTAGACCCTAAAAGTAGTGTCTGAAAAGGTGTGATCACATTTGCACGCAAAATGCCATTATCTCAACAGGAATCCATGTTATTGAGAATTTCCCGTGAGATGGCATGCGTTGACCAACAGAAAGCTGCTTGGTTTGAAAGTGAATATAGCAAAATACCAATAGGAATACACACAATCTGGAATTTCATGCCAGGGCAAAAGATTTTCTCAAGCAGATTTCGCAATGGGTTCAAGTTGGCCATGCAAATTCGCAGAAAGCTGCTTGGTTTGAAAGTGATTTCTGTGTGTACTGTGCTTTATACATTATGACACCATGGTACAGAAAATAAAATAAAATTATGCAATCAAACCAACACTACGCAAATGAAAACCCTTCACGTATGAAACTGCATCGATAATAGTATAATGAATAATGATACAGGTCTGACTTTACTGTGTGAATGTAACACATTCACTTTCTTACACACAGCGACATTAAGCCATCAGTTCTGACTGGAATACTGCATTGAGTTAAACTAGAAACTAAGTATTTACTGTATGTTTCCTCAGCTTCTACCCAAGAGGTTTTATTTTTTAATTTCAATAATTATTGCTTTAAATACAGCTGTTATTGCAGCATGTAGAGATGGTTTAAACATGCAATCAAAGCTTGTATTTAATTAAACTGTCCATACCCACACACACAAAAAAACTAAACAAAAAAAAACTGTTTTTGGAAACACATCTGGGACATTTTTGGACACATTTACTTAACTTAAGATACAAAACTTAAGGCAGATTTACTCTTTAGTTGAACAAGAAAACCAATCACTTGCTCTGAACAACAGACTGTACACACTTACACAGTAACCTGAACATGAAAACCTCATTCTGCTCTCTATGCTATCAGACAAGATACGATCATTTGTCGATACATTTTCTTTTTTTGTTTTCATCTAGACTAAGTTTTTAAGTGCATATATAACCAACATATGGTATATTCTCTTAGTTTGTTTGTCTTTGTTGGCATAAATAGACTTCAGGATAAAGTACAGCCGTAATCCTTATCTAAAGTCAGATATTACACTAGAGAACACAGTTTAGAAGAAACAGAGTTACACCTGGCCATTGAAAAGGAGTGATAATAGTGGGATGAAAACAGCTGCATGTGGTGACTAGGGCTCCTGGGTCTCTCAGTATACACAGAGGTCTGGAAACGTCATTTCATAGACTGGTATGGAGCGGCTCCGGCCATGACCGTTTCCAACAGAGCCAGATGGACTTGGTGGAGGCCTATCCAACAGAGAGAGAGCGAAAGACAGATGGAACAAGTGTCAATTACATGAGACAGACAATACAGCCTTTTTCCACTGTAGTGGTTTCCTACTCTACATTTTTATATGGCTATTACATAAAATATTTGTTCTTTATGCACAATTGAATGATTAGGAAAGCTAATTTATAAAATCTCACAGAAAACAGTTTTATATTATGTACCTGATTGTGATTTCGAAGATTTGGTTAAGTTTACTCTGCAACAGGGAAGCCTAGAGAGAAACAGTACAGGCGGAGAGTTTATGCACAAAGTAAAAAGAAATGAACAGATGTAGAAGCTGAACAGAAGAGCTGTGTTTGTGCTTTTTGATGATAAAATTCGAGTGTGTACGCTAGCTAGGCATTGGACTCACCCTGGCCCCACAGTGGGCTGCTATCTCCTCAAACGGGGCGGTCTGAAACCTCTCCACCACCTGCCTTCTGCGCTCTCTCTCCAGCTCCTCCACATTCACGCTGTCTACTGAACAAACACACACACACACACACACACACACACACACACAAACAAACACAGGTGATTCTGTGCTAAGTGACATAGACCAGCCTAGAAATTTTTTTCAGTTTAAGTTACGCAGGGTAAGCACTTTTAGCAGGGTTGTGATAAAGAGTGGCATGGTCACCCTGAAATATGACTGCCGCCCCCACAGGATCCCCCAACAATATTGGGTTAGAGTACTGTCAATCTGACGATGCCTGTATGCCACTGGATCAGAGTGCTGTCAATTGCTGCCTGATTGTTGCATTTGGAGTTTGCATTTGGCTATACAGGCATCTAGTGGCAACACAATGATATTACAGATACTACGGAAGTGAATATACAATGTTCATGCAAGTAAACTCTCAAATCATGCAAGACTTACCAATGGCTTGTTTAAGAGTTTCAAATGTTATCTGCTCTGCAGTAGATCTCTGTAAAGACACCAAACATAGGTTAAAAAAATACAGCTGATAGTAGATACAATTCTAAGAGGTGGACACACACGTACAGACACAAGCAGTGTAATGAAGACGAGTATGTTTTACCTGCTCTTTCTCTGGACTGTTTCTAGACTCCATCTCTAACTGCAGAGAGACAGTGTCTCCAATACTCTTCCTCTTGGACAGTCGGTCTTCATCTGCATTAGTTACAAAAATTATATTTTCGTAATGTACTGTTATGAATAATTCCAGAAAAAAGCTCAGCTGTACTATAACATTTAAATGTAAAATGCCCTCACTGTATGTGTCTAATGACACATAACTGTATTTCAAAAATACGACAGGACATCCAGTTTCAATGTATTTAAAGCTCAGGCTGAGGGTCAGACCTGTGATCTGTGGGATGTATGGAGTGGCCAGTCTCTCTGTGTTGTATATTTGGCCACATTTTAATCAGTATTTCATGCATTACAATACAGAGGTAAATGTAAAATGTTTTGTCAGGTACACTGTAAAAAATTTCAGGTTTCAAAATTACGTTACTTTGCATTTCTTTGTAATTGTGAAATTTACTATAGTATACTATAAATATTGTCTTATACTAACAAACCATACATCAATGGAAAGCTTATTTATTCAGCTTTCTGATGGTGTGTACATCTCAATATCGAAAAATTGACATTCTTTGACTGGTTTTGTGGTTCCAGGGTCACATACATTAACACAGACCATTTTTAAGGGTCATTTGGCCACATTTTAATCAGTATTTCATGCATTACAATACAGAGGTAAATGTAAATAAACATTTTGTAAGGGTGAAAATAAGTCATTAAGTATTTAGTTATTTAATTGGTCATGCAAGGTTACATATCCTTATGCTTTATCTTAAAGATATGCAAAAGAAAACTTCAAATAATTTTGAGAGGCACTAAAACAACAAAATGTTCATTCTATATTTCATAGCATTAATACTTTTTAAAGAAGTAAATTCTAGATTGCTAGATTTTTCTTGAGTTTGTCAGTGCGCCTGACCTGACAGGGGAGAATTTTCAAATTATTTGTCAAACATATAAACACTGATACATATGAAATAAGCAGTGTGTATATCACTTTTCTTCCGAAAGAAAACGCTAATAACATAACAAAAATGGACAAGTATTATCAGACAGAAATCATTTAAAGTGCTTGTCTAATGAGATGGTTTTAGTGCTCCCTCTAGTGGTCTAAAGACATTCTGGTACCTATGGATCCACTGGCCTCTATGACAGCTGCCTCTGAGATCACCTCCACTATCCCAGCACGCACTCGGGATGAATTCTTACTGTTGGCATCCAAGTGGCCCAATAGCTGCTGAATCACCAGATGTGAATGTTGGGACTGAGAAGAAACAGACGAGTTAATATTACAGGAACACAGATGAACGAATATCAAATTATTTTTTCATTCAATTTTTTATGTTAAAAAAATAAATATAATGTAAAGTCAATAAGAAATGTTAATACATTTATGAGATTTTTAACTCCAATTGTTGAGCTGATAAGATCATTTGTAGAAAATATGTATCAAATTTGAATAATGCAAATATATAAATAGTTTCACTACTGTTCTGAGACTTTCAAAGCTAAGATATTTGAAAGATGTTTAAATATGTCCCCAAACACATAATTATTTAGTAGCAATAGGACCTCAAAAGTGTGTCTTGCATTGTATTTTGTGTCAGATACTTTTACAAACAAATTTCAGAACAGTTGTTTGTATCTACCTGAATGGAGTACATAATGATTTTGAAACAGCGGACTGCAAATGTTTTGCTCTCCCAAAGTGAATGGTTATCGAGGTGCCTGGAAATATACAAGTGTATTAATGATTAGCTTCAGCAAACAGAACTAGAGCAGTAATGAGCAGACAAAGTGGGTCAAAAAATACACTAGCGTAACAGATACTACAGTTACTTTTACAGTGTAGATTGTTTAAGGCTAACAATGAGGACAACTTTTTTCATTTTTTTTCTTCATTCCCTTTCCAATGCTATATTTCTATACTGCCCCTTATGAAAACTAAATATACTAAAATGTATTTGAAATACATTTATTCATGCTAAGTATACTACAAATACATTTACATATTTATGTACTTAATAAAAATACTCAGCAATTGTACTTTTAGTACACTAAACAGGTATACTTAAAGTCTGCTTAATTGGAACAAGTTATTTTGTGCTTAATGAACTTTTTTGTGCGAAATAAGTGATGAGGTCCAACTAAAGATACACTGAAGTATATTTGATTGTGCTAAAGTGGAACTATTGCAAGTATACTTTAAGTACACCTTAAATATCTTGCAGTTAAAGACCAATATTATTCAAAGCTCATACAAGATCAGTAAGTCTCAAGTGATATGTCAGTAAATATGTTAATAGATCTGAACTATACTTTTTTAGTATTTTAAATATATTATATTTATATTATATTACTTTTTTACTGGGGGCATCATTTGTGTGAATAAAAAACTGTCTAACTGACATACTAGGATGATATTAATTCATCTATATGGATAAATGGAAACCTCTGCTGACAAAAAAACTATTAATCAAACATTTAATCAATTATTAATAATTCATCCAAGCATCCATGTCGTTATTCCATTCAGATCCGGCTCCAGAATCAAATCACTGAGGGTGCTTCTTAAATTAGTGAGGGTGCTCTAACTAATATATATATATATATATATATATATATATATATATATTAGTGGCGTCCGTTGCTATGGCGCAAAGAGCGCTCCTTTCATAATCACTAATGTTAAAAAAGCTGTCACTCATCTTAGTTCATCTCACAAAGATACATTATTACCAATAAAGTTTTCTACGCTGCACAATGAATCTCTTATTTACATTGCATCAACACTTTGTTATAATGAGATGATTCCTGCTGAACACAATACCTGAAAAAAACTTCCTGCACTTTGAGCGGTGAGTGGATTCTAACTTAAACGCCTCTGATTCAAGAAATCAACAGATATGTCTGTGATTAGCTACATTGCTCAACGCTGCGAAAACACGTTGAAACAGAAATCGATCACCAAATCGCAAACCATGACGCACTGGATAGTTTGCCAAATCTGCAATAAAATGCCATTAATACAGTTTTAACTGAAGGTGCTTTTGATTTTGTTTGAGGGTGCTTAGCACCCTCTAGCACCCCCGTAGAACCGGGCCTGATTCCATTTACACCCTGCACAAACATTTAGAGTTGGTAAGATAAAAACAGTAATATAGTGATATATTATTACAATTTAAAATCGTTTTCACTTCTTTAAAAAAAAATCCTACTGACTTCAAACTTTTGAATGGTAGTGTATGTGCATTGTTTTGCATGAATTATAATTAGTAGTCCAGTCAATTAGTAGTAACGCCTGCATGATCATAAAAATAACCACAATCCCAAATTCATATTGTCATTTAATGTCAAATATATGCCCTTTATTCATCAAAATAAAAAAATTAAATAAACAACGACATTAAATAAACAACAATCGTTAATTAATTGCCAAAATATACTTGTCTCAAATGAAGTATATGAAGCTAAACTATTTGTATAAAATGAACTGAAACTAAAATAAAAGTGTCTCTGTGTGCGGCCCTCTTGTGTTACTTACATTTCACTGCTGGTCATATATTCCCTATATAACCATGTATGCGACAAATAAATAAAAATCTTGAATCTCTTTAATCAGGGTAGTGCATAAACACTCACATGAGCACGGGTTTCACAGCATTCTTGATGTTGCCGTAGGCCGCTCGTCCTAGCAGCTCTCGAAAGCATCTCTCTGTCAGCTCCACTGGACTCTCCTTCTCTGCCTCTGGGGAAGGAGACCTATCAATAGGAACCAAAAACAGAAGTCAAACATAAACCAGGGCTGAATCAATAGGCCGATTGTTGTTGGCAGTAATGTTACTTGTGGTCAGCTATTTCCACAGAAGTGAAGATGTGAAGAGTTTTATGGTTCTGATTTCATCGCATAGTTCAATTCAGATTTCGTGGCCTGCTTCTGACCCTCGGGCTTTGGGTTTATTAGGTTTACAGCAGTAAAGCAGCTTCTAGAATAAATGACTTTCTTATTACACTTGAGAGTCTGACACCTCAGTTGTAGTCAGTCTACTGTCATATCACAGTTTTCATTAGCATTTGATTAGGAGTTCATTAGCTTAATCACACAGACTGGCTAAGATGCTGTTTCTCAGAAAGAAAATTCACACTTCTATTAGACAAAGTGTCCATTGCTCTTCATGTGTGATTGTGTGTGCGAGTGTGTAAGTGTGTTTCAGACCTCTCTACACCTTCTTCTTGTTGGAGGTTGAACAAGAGAGATGGCACGATTTTGTCCATGTGTTGAGGGTCCCAAATATTTGCCTGCAGTTCATCATTGACAGTTTTCCTCACCACCCCCTGAAGACCCTTGATCCCTGCCATACGAATCCTTACACACACACACACACACACAACCCAAACAGACTTCAGTCACATTTATGAGACGTGGATTTATATTTATGGCTATTTTTATTAATGTGCACTGCATGGTGCAATTCACCCCCTGATGCATGAATTATTAAATCACAAAGGAAACATTTTTTCCTTTTATATCAAAAGCAGATTTCATTTCTAATCCTGTTCTACTCAATCCCTTAGCAGAAAATATTAAATTGTATCAGTATGTGGCAAAATCTCACACACACACGCCGCGCGCACACACACACACTCTTGTGCAGGGACGTGCACATACTCGTGCATTTCCTTTATGAATATCCCTATTGCTCTATTTATACAAAGCTTTAATGTTCACAGTAAATCATATAATTATTAATAATACTGTTTAATTAATTGCATATTAATTTAACATTCTTATTATTCATAATATAATTTCATATTTGTATTACCGGTATTATAATATTATAATACATTTAATATCAAGTCAAAGAAATTATAATTCACAAGGGAGAATACTCTTGTAAAAAATGATATTCTACAAGTTCTTGGTGCTTTATCACTTTTGACAGAAATGTTGCACATATGTTGTCTTAAAAACACAATGACATTTCAAGAGGACAGTCATAAAGTACACCTAAAAATATAAATTAATTTTGTTTGTTTTTGAATTGCATATATAATTTCCATCCATTTAGATAAGATGCATGCATAAGATTAACACTTTAGTATAGGGACAAATTATCACTATTACCTAGTTGCTTATTAGCATCAACATTACCAGCATATTGGCTGTTTATTAGTACTTATAAAGCACATATTCTGTGTGACCATAAATCCTTAATCCTACACAATACCTAAACCTAACAACCACCTTACTAACTATTAATAAGCAGTAAATAGGAGTTTATTGAGGCAAAAGTCGTAGTTAATTGTTAGTTAATAATGAGAACTGGACGTTAAAATAAAGTGTGACTGATTATACTTACTAGTTTATGTTAAAGGTGTATAATCCCCAAATTTTTTTTTTCAACATTCATAATTTTGGGTGTCAAAATCCAAAAAATTGGGTGAAAAAAATGGAAAGAGGTGCTCACTTTGTGCGAATATCTGGATCCTCGTAACTGGAATGGCACATCTCACTGAAGCGTGAGACAAAGAAATCGTAGCTACGATGGTATGATGGTGTGTCCTCCTCTATGTTCGCAAACTTCACAAACTTAAAGAGAAAGAGCAGAAAAATATAGAAAGACTGGTCACATTTTTACTGCTAATGAGTTTGAGGTATGGTTAGCTAAGAGTTGGGTTACGGTTAGGTGTAATGTTGACAGTGTAACTACAAATGTTAATTAAATGCATGTACTTTCAATGTAATTACAATGCACCAACATGTACGTACATACAATTTTTTTTTGTCTCACATGGTTTTTGCCACAACATGTTTTGTGTGGTTAATTACTGGCTGCCAAGAGCATGAAACTATCAAAATTCAAGGTGCATTTAGAAGCCAAACAACCAATATCGCAGAAGATTGATTACGCAAATGTGCATATTGATGGGCCTATGCAGTTCAATGTTTCAAGACATTTTTTGTCAATTTTGATACTGTGTTGAGTCAGCGCTTGATGTCCAGTGTAGTCCTGAAGCAAAAGCAGCTGAGGACCACTGCTGTAAGGTATGCTAATCTGTACTTATGTGGTTAATGTACATTACAGTACAACAGATTAGGATCTTCCTGATTAGGATATCTGAAGATTTGAGATTAGTAGTGGTTATCCAGTGTGCTACTACTGACCACACCGAGTACCACACCAACACAAAACCTACAGAGTACCTTCTTCACGCTGTTAAACTCAGATGAAGACACTACATAACCCATCAATTCTGTAAACATGCACAGAGCTTTCAACATTTATGGGCAACACGCTTTAAGCCCTCCCCCATCTGGCCTCTATCTATGAAAGTAATCTCTTTTTAATCTTTAAGCCCTTATATTTCAGAAGCATCAGATGTGAGCGGTTTTGAACTTGAGAATTCTATATATTCCAATAAGCAACTGAGTTGGGCTAGTGCTAAGCTTTCACGGACCACGTTGAAGTTTCACATTACTGTACAGAGGATAAATGTATCTTTGTTTTGAAAGCTTGTCATGTAAAATGAAATAACATTAGCTGGAATGGGATTATACTGAATGAAGAGGGCCTGTATATTTCAGGTAAATGGGAAGGTCTGACATGAAGTAATGGAATAAGTGCAATATTTAAATACAGAACTAATAAAATAAAGTACATATAATAAATTCAAACATACAATAAATGTAAAGAAAAAAACAGACAAAATAATGTAATTCTAGTATTAAATATGCTGCCTGTGTAACTAGCATTATCTTCACTGGGGAAATTTCATATAAATTCATTTCTAATCAGTTTTAAATAACTTTCTAATTTAATGATCGTCCCAATCGTCAGATTACATTTAAATTTATTTTGGTCTAATTTATCATCTAATTTATTTTATTTTAAATAGAAATCTTTTGTAACATACCTTTTGTGCAATTTAATTTACCCTTGCCGATGATACTTTTTATTTTAAGACTAGAGAAGACTAAAAGTTCAGCTTTGTCATCACAAGAATAAATTACATTTTAAAATTTACTGAAATAAAAAAAATAGTTCTTTTAACAATATTTCACAATATTACTATTTTTACTGTATTAATTCTTAATCTGTAACTGAATTTAACTAGATTGTAAGCACCAGTCTATTTAGGAGACGTAGCACTATGGGGATTATATTGGCAAGGAGGGCTTTATATTGAATATAGTTTGGATGAGCTTGATTGAGGTGAAGCCAAAATGTTACAGCTTGGCACTCTGTGTAATCAAGTGCATTGAGCTTTTGAAACTTCTTAATTCTGGTCTGTTCCTCCAAGATCACTGCAAGACTGAACCCGTGGTGTTGATGCAGCAGCCACATTTCCCTCCGTACTGCAGAGAAGCCCGACTCAAGCTAGATTTATCACGTCATCATTTTCACATGGCATTCTAAATCTGTAACTACATCAATAGGGTCTGTAAGTGAATTTCACTAGAGAGTAAAGGCAGTAAATTTCACTCACCGAGTTAGTGCCCAGGATCTGTAAATTGGGTTTGTCTGCCTCCAGCAGCTTGCGCACCATGGTAAGGAAACTCTCCACAAAAAGGTTTATAGTCTGACAGTGACAGGCCATCAGTAGCTGGTCCAAAGCCTCCATAGCAATACAAACATACCTGTGAGACACAAACATGATACTGTCCAGTGATGATCACAGATTATTATAGCAGGCATAAATCACAGAGCCGGACAGAAACAATCACTGGACTTTCTTCCAATTTTTGTTTTTACCCATATCTATGCCGGGCAACGTCTCTGGATAGTCTCTCTGACAGGTAGGCACCGATACGGTCTAGTTTCTCCGGAGCAGACAAGGCATAAAACGTAAGCTTCTCCATGTTAGCTTTCACCAAACCGTCCTTTACACAAAAAGACAAAGACGGCAAGAGAACATTGAAAAGAGGTCTATTAGAGAAAGACATAAAAAGAAAAATGAACCATAAAATGTAATTTTAAACTTTCCTCTACCCAAAAAGAATCTTCCATAGATTATTTATCTTCTAGTCAGAGTCTAATGCAGATCCCAATACAGTTTCTTAAGCTTATCTCATTATTCAGAAGAGAGACAGATTCAAATACTTTCCAGTTTCGAGCTTTAACCTTACATGGCGGAATACGAGACGAGGGGTTCTTTCTAAAATTAAATAATAGGCTTGTATTTGTAAACTGGAAAATTATTTAATTCATACTTTGCACTAAATTATCAGTGCATTTTTTTATTTTACTCTTTTAATTTATCATTATAGTATTATATTCATGTATAACACCAATTTTAATTTGTATTAATTTTTTCTGACCAAAATATTAGACAAACACTTTCAGTGCAACTCAAACGTATATCACTTTTCTAATAAATATCATTCCAAAACTATAAAAAGAAAATAGTTAAAATAGTGACATACATACATACATATATATATATAAATTTTTTTTTTTTTATTTTTTTTCTTCAAAGTTAAATTAAATAAGTTCAAGTCATTAAAATAAATAAAGATTATTGGAGTACATTTTTTAAAAATGTCATGATTAATTTACTGTGTTACTTGTCGCTTCTTTGTAATTATTTGTTAAATTTACTAGCAAATTCTGAGAGAAAATTGTTTCAAAATAAATCCTACATCAAACTTTTTTTTCAGAGTACTGAGCAAGCTAAAGATAAAAAAAAATGTGTTGCAAGAAATTATCCACAAAAACAAAAACTTTTTTATTTCTTAAACAAGTTTTAAAATACAATGTATAAATTATTTTTTATTTTCTCTCATATTTTCCAAACCCAAGTATGAAAATCCCTGAAACAGACATCTAGTCTGTAAAAACAGCTGAATGCAATCAGGTGAGCATGCAGCAGATCTGCTACGCCACAGTGGCTCTAAAACTAATGAATGTCACCATTAAAAGCCTATGTTTACATCACTGCATTGATCACTGATGACTGATAACCACTAGAAACCCAGTGAAGCATCCCTTTCTCTGGCTCAGTGGCTTTTATTTCATTTGACCTTACCTCAGGGTCTTCAGGAAAGATGTTATCCACCAGCCTCTTATAACGGGGTCTCAGGGCCCCACAGCATCCGCAAACACCTGAAACAATGGGAGAAAGTGAATTAGACCGGCAGTAATACAAAAGAAGACCCTAACACGATAACTGAGCACACAAGGACAGAAATAATATATGTGAAGGAAAAGGAGGTTTGGAAGGTTATCTCTCCAGACCCCTTTGTTTACCTCATCTCCGGTGTGTAGGGCAGTATTGATCAAGAGTCTTTGTAATTATACTCAATGTGAGGTTTATTTATTGCATCGCCACATTAAATAAATTAAACCTGTGTGCTGTAATCTAGTAAGTGAGGCCAGTCGATTCAGGGGAAAGGCATTAATCTGTATTTAGGAAACGTCTGCAGCTTGGTGTGCCGGTTAAATGGATTTGAAAAGAATCTGTTGAAAGCATTTAGAATTGTTTTGGTTTTACACCGGCAATTGAAAGCCCATAAAAAGCTTATACAGACATATAAAGGGACACATTGTAAATCACAGGAAAAAGTGGTAAAAAGGATAATTCATCTATTGTCCTCAATTTGTTGCAAATGATTTCAGGAGAATAACAATATTTTATTTTAAAATAAGTTTGAATATGTTAACATTAGTTACATTGAATTAGGTAATATGAACTATCGATGAACATCAGTTTTTCAGCATTTACTTGTATTATTTATATACTATTTAAGCATTTATTATTTTGGTATTTAGTTTAATATTTAGATATCTATTTGTTTATTTTGGTATTTAATTTAGTATTTATTATCTTGAATTAGCTTTTATTTTTACATTTTCAGTTTACATTTAAATCAGAGTTGAAACTTTAGTAATTTTGTTATGTTTTTGTCATTTTTTTATCTATTTTTATTTCGATTTCTTTTTAGCTTTAAATTATTTTTAAGTTTTAGTTTTATTCATTTTTAGCACTGCAACTTAAACTTATTTCATTTAATTGCCGAGGCAACATTTTTCATCTAATATTTAAATTTTATTTCAGCTTAATTTCAATGACCGAAAATGAATTTAATAGATTTCGTTTTAGTTAACAATAGCAACACTGAGGCTAATGTTCATAACCTTATTGTAAACTGTAGTAGTGTGGCAATACTATACTCCATCCATCCATTTTAAACATCTTTTTTTAATTAAATACAATTTTATTTTTTATTTTTTTGTATAATTATACTTTTAATAAGTTCATATTAACTGAAAGAGGCTACATGGAATATATGTAATTTTAAAAATGAATATGTCATACTGCAGGAATATTTAAGCAACCTGGTGATTAAAAAGGTGATTAAAACCAGTGACCAGTCACTGCATCTAAAATACACACTTCTCCTTATACATTCATATAACTCTTAAACTAGAATACTGCTGCAGAGTATAAACAGTTCATATCCATGTTGTTTATCAACTACCCAATAAAAACTCCACAAACATGGTTTTTCAGACACCCACAAACCCCCTTCTGGGTGGATGAGTCAGAGGCAGCACCTTGGCAGGACCCCTGGGAAGGACAAGGCTGTTTACACCATTACCATAGTGAAAGAGCTTCATCATGGAGGAAAGTAAACAAACCAGAGCAGGTGGAGCGATCAGACTGCAGCATTCATCCACCCACACAAAACTGACACAGGCTTTTCATTCTAGTCAACAAATATTAAGGATCAGATCACACACAATATGACCAATACGAGCAAAATAGTGGGTATAGAAGGATATGATAGAGCAGACAGATATTAAACTACTTATCAGTAAGAGCATCAGTCTACAAAACTCACTCAACTTTGTATTTGAAATGCAACACAAGGTCAGTGTAGGTTTATTGACTCAAGCCTGCTGTCCGATTAGCTACCGTCAAGCTGCCATTTACCAAGATTGTGATTGGCAATTACACTGTGATTGGATGGATGGTAGAGGAGCTAGAGTGTGAGTCACACATCGGCCTACCTGCTAGTGTTTTGACACATCAGCGTGACACCTCTACGCCTAAAGCAACTGAAGCAGAAGCGAAAGAAAAAAACCCTGACAGTCGACACTGAAAATTTCCACCCACACACTCAAGACTGCAGCGAATCCTCTCACGCTCTCCCTGTTTCTCACTCCCAGAGTGATTCTGCAGTTTTGAAAAAAGAGGGTCATTAATGACTGCAATGTGTAATCACTTAAAAAATGACACAAACAAACAAACAACCACGTACTGCTGTGCATTTTAATTGACATGTGGTTTTACTGTTGAGTTGTCGGTTTGGAAAATAGTTTCAAAACAATAGATTTAATAGGTTTTGACTGATAGCCATCTCTTGCAAATAAACAGACATATATAAAATACATGAAAAAAAACCCAGCAGCATTTAAAAAACATTATATTTTATGAATGTATTTGTAATAATAAAAAATACTACTAATAAAAATGGTTTTGTTTTTATTTATTAATTATATTTTATTTAATAATCATAGAAATTGAATAAAAATTGGTAAAATATCAGTGCATTAAAACAAGAAATTTATATTTAATTTTTTATATAATTATTTAATTATCCTTATCATTATTAAACAATCGTTGTAATTTATGAACCATTTAGCTTAGTCTAGCTCAGTTTCCAGGGAGTTAATTCTGATAAAATGTATAGCGTTTTTGCGAATTCTCCTAAAATATTTTAGAGCATCTGCTAAATGCATGAATATACTGTCAATGAATCATTAGGCAATGTTAAGACAAGGAGGAGACAAAGAATTGTCAACAGACAACCAAGTGATTTGCAAGAAATCTAAATAATCTCTCTCAAGCATGTATGCTCCAAAATCTGAATATCTTGATGAGCATCCCTTCAACATAATCATAAGTACAGCATGAAGTAAATATTAAGTTCATAAATCCAAGCTCCATGCAAGAGCTACAGGAACTGCTTTACTACTGTATTAGCTACATTTATTAAACACAAGCGCTTTGGCATTCTGTTTCTCGGACAGGGTGGTAAATATAACCTTCACAGTTCCCTCTGGTTTACAACCCTCATAATTCTCTTATGGCTGTGTACTCACCTCTATCATTCACCTGGCACAATCTTCTGACACTGACTGAGCCCAGGGGCCAAAATATCTGCTTTTAGCTTTATTATTTTAACTTGCTATATCAGAATGCTGTACATCTAATGACAACGGTAATAAATAAATGTAAAATGTTACACTCAGAAAGCAAAAACAACTAAATAATTTAAATCAGGAGTGTAGCATCAACACTAGGGAAGTAAGTGCATACTTTGTTGCCAAGAACAACTCTACACGCACATCTGCAATCTGCATACGCTGCAAAACAAAGGCTATAGCTGGCACTGTGACAAAGAAGATCATGTCATAATAAAGAACTAGTGGTGCTGGGATGTACTACTATGGTTGATATGATATCCTCCAAGCTGGTATAGGGATACTAGAAGACATCCAGCTTTAATAGGGCTTTACATAACACACAACTCACTATGCATGTGAATGAATCAAACTCCATGTTGTGGCGGCTACAGTATGGAAAATCAATCTTTCCGAATGCAGACTTCTGGCACTGTCTCTCTCATCATGACGCAGTCACTCTAAATACATTTCCCCTGAATTATGAGGGCTTATGACAGCTATATTTAGCACATCGGCCATCAAAGATGCCATATCCCTTCAGATTGACCAAAACGGGACACAATATCAAAGACACTCACTCTCATATGTTAGTGTCACAGGGAAAAAGCAGAAATACAGAGAGGGAACTTCATGCTAACAATGAAATCTATTCATTTACTTCTTTAACCTTGTCACTGTCAGCTCTACTTCCATGAGCATCTAGTTCATCTAAAACTATCATTTGCATACTCAGGACTCTGTTTGAGAATAATGTTGTGCCTTTTTGAAGTTTTAGGGTATAGTTAAAGTGTTTCAGTATTGCTATTAAAACATCACATATCATCCGTCAAAATAGTTTGCAGTTGAAGCCAAAATGTAAATCTAAATAACAAGCAGTGAGGTCCAAGTGTCTGAAAATATATGATAAATCTAATTTAAATTTGGATCAACAGAAATTTTTTTTTTTTAAACATTAATGCATAAAATTAAGATATACAACTGATCTAAAGTTTAGGGGTCAGTAATATTTTTTTATGTTTTTAAAAGAAATCTCTTACGTTAACTGAAGCTGCATTTATTTGATCACAAATACAGTTAAACAAGATAACACTGTGAAATATTATTATAATTTTAAATATATTTAATATACTGTATTTTAAAGATTAGAATGCCATATTTTAAGTTTATTCCTGTGATGGCAAAGCTGTATTTTCAACATCATCAGAAATAATTCGAATATGCTGTTTTGCTGCTTAGGAAACATTTCTCATTACTATCAATGTTAAAAACAGTTGGGCAACTTAATATTGTTGTGGAAACCGTGATACATATTTTTCAGAATTCTTTAATGCATAGAAAGTTCAAAATAACAGCTTTTATTTGAAATAAAAATATTTTGTAACATTACAAACATTGTACACTTTTGAGCAATTTAATACATCCTTGTTGAATGAAAGTATTCATTTCTTACAAAAAATAAATAAATAAATCTTACTGACCCTAAAATTGTGATTGGTAGAATATCGGATTCTAGGCCACAAATCCATATCAGTATATTTGTAACACTGACCATGTGAACTCCTTTATACAAAAGTTAGAATTTCTTGCTTCCATTGAAGCACAAATCACAGAAATTCACTCAGTGTCATTCTGATAATATACATTTTAATAAATAAATATAAATATATATATATAGGCATCCATGCTGTGAGAAATCAAAGTCGCAGCCTGACTGCCTGTAGTTCGTTTGAAACATCTTCAACATACTGGTCAGATGAAATAATATGAATACAGCAGAAAATATCATGTGTACATGCAAATGTACTGAATGTTGCAGTAGATCTGTGCGTTTTAGTAGTGTGTGTTTGAGTATTCGGTGCAAAGTAGTGTGGATGAAGCTAAATCGGTGATGCCTGAAATGACAGATGAAATGA